CCCCAAAACCCCAAAACCCCAGGAGTAATGTATTGCTAAAATAATTTCTCAGAATGAATTATCAAATTGATCAAAGTTAATATCTTAACTATTTAATATAAAGATATTAAAGATGAAGCTTCTTGATCCACTATGGTGCTATAAAATCACTACTCAAATACCCTATATCCAGCTAGGATTTATCATAGTTATTACTTATCATCTAGTAAGCGACGAATTCGAATTAGAGAATCGATAATCAGCAATTGCATGGTTATTCTTAGCTCACATTTTCTCATTTACTGTGGAATTTATAAGACATATGTGTTACAAATGCTGCAAAATAAACAACCGTTTTATATCTTTCACTTTTAATTTTCTACATTCAGCTGCTTACTCTGGTGCAATATTTTATGCTTAACTTAAGATTCTTGAACCTGGTAAATCATCTTTACTGAACCCAGAAGCTTTATCTAAAGATTAAAATGCTTTGCTATGGCTACAGATGGAGATTGTTTACTATTACCTATATGTTGGCCTTGCCATAGTTTTCCTTTTTCTCCAGTCTGTTTTTAACCTAAAAATCTAAGTATACGATGTAAAATTTGTTAGAAAAACAGATGATGTAATACTAAAAGAAAAAAAATAATCCCCAGAAGCTACTCAACCATTTTTGAAAGATTAAAACTAAAATGATAAAATATAATAGAGAATTGATTAAAAAAATAAGGAATGGGAAGATAGCTACAATAATATAAGGTCTCATAAAAAATAAAACTAGGATTTCTTGATTATAATTATACCATAACTTCAAACATTTTTCATTCATGGAATCAATCTGTTTTTCACCATAATATTTATATCATTGTATGATGAAAACAGTGGAGAAGATAACAAGCCATTTCAAACTTAGTGCATATACATCATAGTCTTATCCTTTATTTTATAACTTTATACTATATTTGATTAATTCAACTCTTAGGACTTTGGATAGCTTACGAAGATAATTATCTTTATATTTGATTTAATTGCACCCATTCTTCTTTGCACATTTATTATACTAGCAGAGTCCTCAGAGCGGATAGCTAAATATTGTGCTTATAATTACTTATCATTTATAATTGGTAAATGGGTATTTTATCTATTTCATCAAATTGCAAAACGGATAAAGAATCTTTAAAAGAGTAATGAACCAGAAGATGAATATATCGAGAAAAATAAAATGAAAAAGCAAAGACTTAATCCACCCTATATGAATAAAGTTGATGTAGAAGTTGATATGTATTCAATAGCCTACCTAAGCATATTTGAATTAGAATCTAATGATGACGATTCTGAAAATTAAAGCTAAAATAAGACACCATTGCTGTCTGGATAAAATTCCCAATAATAACAACAAGATAAAAACCAATAAAATGCTTTAACTTCTAGTAATGATCAAGAATAATTGCAATAAAACTAAAAACAAGAATAATTGCAATTAAACTAAAACAATTAGAATAGTGAGGATTAGAAAGTTAATTAACAATAAAACAAGAGATAGGAAGATGTTGATATCATTCCAAATAATGAAGTCGAGGCTGCAAAGAACTTCTCCACATGTGTTTTCATATTTTGTATTCAACTTATACTAGTCTCTTTAGTATTTATGGAATTTTTTTCTACAGACTAAGTTGATTCTCTAACCTATGAGGTTCTTTTGACTAGACTGCTTCTTGCTATTTTGTTGCATATGCAGCTTGAAAGAGAAATAAGATAGTCAATAACTATGCTTAATTATGCCAGGTTAAAAGTTAAATCAGGACAAAAAAGAAATGCTTTGATTACTGTAAGTGTGATGTAATTTTTTAGTGCTTTTGGAACTGAACATGTCAACATCCTGCTTATCTGTACATAGTATTCAGTCAAAGATGTTATTATGAACTTCATTGCTCTAGGTGTTATTGCTGAAATCGATAATATCTATGCTAGAACTCTTTAAAATAACTCTATTAAGAAGAAAATTGAAGATCCAGACTATATTCCTTTGAATTTAGAACATACTCCTACTTTAGGGCCTCATAAGTGGTATTTTCCAGCGAGAGTATGGCATTGGATTGTAATGACTTTTTATTAGTGCTATTACTACTATTTCATGCCATATACAGCCCTTTTAGTAAGCTATATTATGAGCAAAAATCAAAGTATCTGATTCTTAAACTATTAATCAGAAATTTTAGTTTGATTATTTTGATATTTTTAAAAATTATGTTTTTTTTACTCTCAAGGGGTTTTGGGGTTTTGGGG